GTCACTCCTGCTTCTGGTGCTCTCTCACAGTCTAGTGGGGAAGATGGAAGAAACAGAATTAAACAAGGGATAGCTGTGTGGTAAATCAGATGAGCGGTGACTCGTCAGATATGGGGGACATGAAGGATGGGGGCTTAGGATGACTTCTATTTTGTGGTTCAATGAGTGATTTTCATTAACCCTCTTTTTGTTTCAGAGGGACAAGAGATCAGTATTTGTGGGGAATCTCCCTTACAGTAAGTATGTTTAAACAAATAAAGTACAGATAACCTTTTTAAGCTAATAACAGGGAAATAAAAACTAAATAGTAACTTAATGTTTTGCTTTAAGACTAACTTTAGGCTGGATGCAGTGGCTCATACCTGTAATCCCAGCACTTTGGGAGGCTTAGGGGCGGGTGGTGATTGCTTGAAGCCAGGAGTTCGAGACCAGCCTGGGCAACATAGCAAGATGCCATCTTTAAAAAAAGAAAAAAACTATAGAAAGCATGCAGTGTAATGACATATTTTCATGGGGCTGTGCTTGACTAGCTGTAGTATTAAACGTCTCCACTTTTCTAAGGAGAGGCCAAATCTTTACTTTCATTTTGGTTCAATTTGGTTTTAGAAGTTGAAGAATCTGTCGTTGAGAAACACTTTTTGGACTGTGGGAGTATCGTGGCAGTGAGGATTGTGAGAGACCAAGCTACAGGAGTTGGCAAAGGGTTTGGCTACATACTCTTTGAGGTATGGGAGACTAATGCATTTGTCCTTTGAAATGCTCTGGGTGGGATTGACACTGCTGTGTCGTCTTTCAGGCGTAACTCTATCTCCTCAAATTCCATCTGAAGAAAGTAAATTCATAACCTGCCATAATAGAATTCTGTTGGTAAAATGGCACTTAACCGAAGATATCCTAGTTCCCTCTTCCTTCATATTAATGCTATTAAACAATGTTTTAGATTTTGGGTATTAGAGGGAACAAGTCTCTAAATCTCCACCTTTAAAATGGCCAAAATAATTGACCATTTACTCAGGTAGAAGAAAACTTTAGTCTTTGAACAAAATTGGTTATATTTAGTTCACTAATTATTAACCAGTGTTTCATGCCTATGATTGTTAAGTAGTAAAAGAATATACATACAGTCGTCCCTTGGTATCCGTGGGAGACTGGTTCCAGGACCCCACCTCCCATACCAAAATTTGGAGCTGCTAAGTCCCTGATACAAAATGGTTATATATTTGCATATAACCTATGCACATTCTCCTGTATACTTTAAATCATCTCTAGGTTACTTATAATACCTAATACAATGTAAATGCCACGTAAATAGTTGTTATACTGTATATTTTATTTGTATTATTTTTTATTGTTATTTTTGTGTTTTTTTTTCCTTGAGTATTTTCCATTGCAGTTGGTTGAATCCTTGGATGCTAAACCTGAGGATGCAGAGGGGCAACTATACCTGTTATTTGATAGCATTTAAATTTTTCTTCCCTCAGCAGTATCCTGTTAATATGCTGCTTTTAGTTTTTTCCTCTGCTGGCTTTATTATAGTTGAACTTACATCTGTGAACATAAAGTTTTGCAGCCTGCTTTTGTTTTCTGTTGCGTGTGTTCCATTGAGTGATGTAATGTATTTTACACTGTTGCATCCCTAATATTGGACATTGGCAGTGTTCTCTGTTTTTCGCTGTAATAATTCAGTTGCAGTGGTTATGATTTTTCCTCAAAAGTTTGCCTGAATTTTGGATTGGATTACTTCTTTAAGATAAATCCCCATTGGAGGCCGGGCGCGGTGGCTCACGCCTGTAATCCTAGCACTCTGGGAGGCTGAGGCGG